TGTGTGTCTGTGTCTGTGTGTGTGTGTGTGTGTCTGTGTGTGTGTGTGCAGGTGTGTAACTGCAGTGCCGCGGGCTCGAGTTCATCTCGGTGTGAGCTGCAGTCGGGTCAGTGTCGCTGCAGGCCGCACTTCTCCGGTCTCCGGTGCGACCGCTGCGCTTTGGGCTACAAAAACTTCCCAGAATGCACCGCCTGCAACTGCAGCCCCGACGGCACGCGAGAGGAGTTCTGCGACCCGGCGCTGGGAGTGTGTGGATGCGAGGATCACGGCCGCTGCTCCTGCAAGGTGACGAATATTATTATTATTACTATTATTCATGCATCTTTTCTGCAAAGATATTTAACAACTGATTTGTTTAACATTTAAATCATGTTGACAACTTCATGTGTGCTGCACCTGGAATAGAATTTTTTAACTGGAGGGTAAATAATGAAAAAGTTACTTGAATCATGTTGTAGTTACATTGTAGGGCTGCAAAACGATTAGACGCGATTAATCGATTCAAAATAAAAGTTTGTTTACATACTATATGTGTGTGTACTGTGTATATTTATTATGTATATATAAATACACACATGTAAATATTAAAAAAAATATTTTATGTATTTGTATATAATTTATATTTCATATAAATATTTTACATATAAATCTAACATATTTTTCCTTAATAAATACATGTACAGTATGTGTGTGTATTTATATATACATAATAAATATACACAGTACACACACATATAGTATGTAAACAAACTTTTATTTTGAATCGATTAATCGCGACTAATCGTTTTGCAGCCCTATTGCATTGTCAAGTTGACTAGTTAAAAATCTTAAAAATCGAGAATCGGTCAAACGTTCTGAAAAAAAATTAATTTTTTTTTTTTTTTTGCCATAGCGCCCAGCCCTAGCTTTGTATATTGTAATGTGTTCTAGTACGTCATCGTTAATGTGGTTAATGTTTTTCAGGAGAACGTGGGCGGCAGCGGCTGTGACGAGTGTAAGACTGGGACGTTCGGTCTGACGGCTCAGAATCCGGCCGGCTGCAGTCCGTGCTTCTGTTTCGGTGTGTCCAGCGTTTGTGAGGAGCTCGGCGGATTGATCCGAGTGCCGGTGAGCAGTGATCACACACATCACATCGACTCACACTACAGGAAACCGTTTGTTAACTACACTGTGAACATACACTAGTTCAAAAGTTTGGCTCAGTAAGGCTTTTTAATGTTTCTGAAAGAAGTCTCTTCTGCATTTATTTGAACAAAAATACAGTAAAAAAGTGAAATATTATTCTAATGTAAAACAGCTGTTTTCTGTGTGAATATGTGTTAAACTGTAATGTATTTCTGTGATGCGCAGCTGTATTTTCAGCATCATTACTCCAGTCTTCAGTGTCACATGATCTTCAGAAATCAGTATAATATGTGACCCTGAAGCACAAAACCAGTCATGAGAGTAAATTTTTGTGAAATATTATTCTGAATAAATAATCTTTCCATTGATGTATGGTTTGTTAGGATAGCACAATATTTGTAAATCTGGAATCTGAGGGTGCACAAAAATCTAAATATTGAGAAAATCATCTTTAAAGTTGTTCAAATGAAGTTCTTAGCAATGCATATTACTAATCAAACATTAAGTTTTGATATATTTACGATAGGACATTTACTAAATATCTTCATGGAACATGATCTTTACTTAATATCCTAATGATTTTTGCCATAAAAGAGAAATGTATAATTGTGACCCATACAATGACTCAAAACTTTTGTAACATTATAAATGTCTTGACTGTCACTTTTGATCAATTGAATGCATCCTTGATTAAAAACATAAAATCTTACTGACCCCAAACTTTATATATAAATGAAACGGTAAGTCATGAGATTCCATGCTTTACAGTTATTTTACCAGAGGCGCAAAATATTAAAAATGTGTATAAAACAGTTCTTCAGTGCATTTTTTTGTCATATTAACATCCAGTCAGTGAGTTAAATTATTTCAGCGAGTAAGTGATTCTTTTGACTCATTCTTTAAAAGACATTTGTTTGTGAGTCTACAGTTTTTTTTTTTCTCATCACATTTAATTAAGAAACAAACTAAATCCAGATAAAAATATTATTTATGCTGCCATGGAACTGAAGATTGCAGTGCAGGAAAGTCTTTTGATGTGAATTATGAATATTCATGAATGGTGTGTATATTAATAAGTGTGTGTGTCTGTGATTCAGATCACGCTGGGCTCTGCTCCGGCTCTGCTGCGTGTCGTGTCTCAGAGTGACCTGCAGGGGACGCTGGAGGGAGTTTCTTACAGCGATCAAGAGATGCTGCTGGACGCGTCTCACCTCCACAGTCTGCCTGTCCTCACCGGCCCGTATTACTGGAGACTGCCGCAGAAATACCACGGTAACAAGGTACAGACCCGCACAAATACCACGGTAAACCCCACACAAATACCACGGTAACAAGATACAAATACCACAGTTAACACCACAGAATACCATGGTAACAAGGTACAGACCCGCACAAATACCACGGTAAACACCACACAAATACCACGGTAACAAGACACAAATACCACAGTTAACACCACAGAATACCATGGTAACAAGACACAAACACCACACAAATACCATGGTAACAAGGTACAAACCCCACAGAAATACCACGGTAAACACCACACAAATACCATGGTAACAAGACACAAATACCATGGTAACAAGACACAAACACCACACAAATACCACAGTTAACACCACCGAAATACCATGGTAACAAGACACAAATACCACAGTTAACACCACAGAAATACCATGGTAACAAGACACAAATACCACAGTTAACACCACACAAATACCATGGTAACAAGACACAAATACCACAGTTAACACCACACAAATACCATGGTAACAAGACACAAATACCACAGTTAACACCACACAAATACCATGGTAACAAGACACAAATACCACAGTTAACACCACACAAATACCATGGTAACAAGACACAAATACCACAGTTAACACCACACAAATACCATGGTAACAAGACACAAATACCACAGTTAACACCACACAAATACCATGGTAACAAGACACAAATACCACAGTTATTTATGCATTTCTATTCATACTTTTTTAATAATGTAAAAAAAATTTATGTTTATGCATGTATTTGTTGCACTCAGATGTGTGATTCGTGTGGTTCTGTTGTTTCTCCGGTAGCTGCTGTCGTACGGAGGAAGACTCTCCTACACGCTGGCCTTCTTCGCTCTGGACGGCTTGGGTCTGGCCAATCACGAGCCTCAGGTGCTGATGAGGGGCGGGCACCTGCGCAAGCTGGTCATCTACACTGAGCTTCCTGCGCCTGAGAACGGCGTCCGCACCGGACAGGAGGTTCCTCTGACCGAGGTCAGTTTGCTGACATCACCTCTGTGTGTGTGTGTGTGTGTGTGTGATCCCGGCGCGCTCTGACCGTGCTCTTGTGTTTGTGTGCAGCACAAGTGGAAGTATTTCAACTCTGTGTCTGATGAAGCCGTGAGTCACGCCGACTTCATGTCAGTGCTGAGTAACGTGGAGTACATCATCATCAAAGCGTCGTACGGCTCAGGACTGCAGCAGAGCAGGTGTGTGTGTGTGTGTGTGTGTGTGTGTGTGTGTGAGAGACAGTGTGAGTGTGTGCGTGTGTGTGTGACAGTGTGTGTGAGTGTGTGTGTGTGAGAGAGTGTGTGTGTGTGTGTGTTTTTAAGATTATATAATTTAATATAGTTAACTTAATCTATATCACACAAAGAGTACCGTTTTTCTGCAGATATTAGCATGAACACATTTAATAATCATGTTATACAAGTTCAGTAAAGTTAGCAATAAGTGACTTACATTTTAGACATAATATTGCTTGTTTTTGCTCAATTTTGCCAACGAAAATAGTTCCAAACAAAGATCAGAGCCAGTGGTGGAGCCAGGATGTTTTAAAGGGGTGGCCAGAGAGAGGCCAGCAACCAGTCTGGGGTGGCACAGAAATCTTCATTATTTCAATATAAAAATGTGTTTGACTATAATGTACTGGACTGTTTTAGTGCCTAAAACACAACGGAGTACAATTCATGTCTAAATCCCGGTAAGGAGAATTAGCTGCTGAGCTAGAACACAGCTATTCTAAGATAGCTATGTCCTAAACGTCTTATGAAGGCTTGTAGTCCAGAATAACTACACACAGCTAGCCTACATAGACAGCCAGATCTAGATTTAAAAACAAACTTTACCTGAAAAAAAAACACTTCAGATAGTTGCCAAGGCAACATTTCTTTTAATTTAGTTAGACTTGACTAAACGTACCAAAGAAAAAACTATTAATAAAACCTATAGAGACACAAAAACCATATAGATTTCATTAATTCATTATCAGTTATTTTAGTACATCAAGTCTATATCTATATCCATCCCTGCATACTACAAAAAGACAACAAAAACACAATTTAAGACAGAGAGTGTGTATGTGTGTGTGTGAGACAGTGTGAGTGTGTGCGTGTGTGTGTGACAGTGTGAGTGAGTGTGTGTGTGTGAGAGAGTGTGTGTGTGTGTGTGTGTGTGCGTGTGACAGTGTGAGTGAGTGTGTGTGTGACAGTGTGAGAGACAGTGTGAGTGTGTGTGTGTGAGAGTGTGTGTGTGTGTGTGAGAGAGAGAGAGTGTGTGTGTGTGTGTGTGTGTGTGTGTGTGTGTGTGTGTGAGAGTGTGTGTGTGTGTGGATCTGAATCATTCACAGCAACTCTCACATTCAACATTCAGCTTGCATAATGTGGCATATTTTAGAGTGATCTGATGTATTCAGTCAGATTTAATGTAGAGCCAGACTTTTATCCATCAGGATCGTGAACAGTGAGCTATGATATTGATTAATAGGATGAGTTATTACATTTAGATGTTTCTTCTTTAGAATAATGTCTATATGAAGTATAATAACACAAATAACTAATAATAATTAGAATTCCTTATCATGTACTGCAAATGCCATTGTGGTTAATGTTACAATTAATATGAATAAATTATAATAAAAATGACAAAAATAATTCAGAATAACAAATTAACAACAATAACTGGAATTCATTGGATTATCATGTAAAACCAAAGTGATGAATATGTAAATATGAATATGAACAAATATTGATAAATACAACAACAACAAAAAAATATATATATATATATAAATAATAATAAAAAGCACAATAATAATAAATAGAATTCCTTTGGGGAAAATAAAATTAATAATAATAATAATAAGTAGAATTCCTTTCAGTATCATGAAAGTAGCAATGAATATGTAAATATGAATAAATAATAATAACAAAATAATTATAAGTAATAAAAATAAAATAATTATTATAATTATCAATAATAATAATAGTAATACCGAGTAGAATTCCTTGAGGTATCATGTAAATAGCATAGCAATGATTATGTAAATATGTAATAATAATTATAAATAATAATAAGTACATGCAGTATAAATTCCATAGGGATGAATATGTAAGTATGAATATGAACTAAAATGAATGAATAATAAAAATTATTATTAAAAAGAATTATAAATAAAAAATACAATAATAATAAAGGGAATTCCTTACAGTATTGTGTAAATATAGTGATGATTATTTAACATGTGACCCTGGAGCACAAAACCAGTCATAAGAGTCAATTTTTTGAAATTGAGATTCATCCATCATCTGAAAGCTGAATAAATAAGCTTCCATTGATGTATGGTTTGTTAGGATCGGACAATATTTGGCTGAGATACAACTATTTGAAAATCTGGAATCTGAGGGTGCAAAAAAATCTAAATATTGAGAAAATCATCTTTAAAGTTGTTCAAATGAAGTTCTTAGCAATGCATAATATGTAAGTATGAATATGAACTAAAATGAATGAATAATAAAAATTATTATTAAAAAGAATTATAAATAAAAAATACAATAATAATAAAGGGAATTCCTTACAGTATTGTGTAAATATAGTGATGATTATTTAACATGTGACCCTGGAGCACAAAACTAGTCATAAGAGTCAATTTTTTGAAATTGAGATTCATCCATCATCTGAAAGCTGAATAAATAAGCTCTCCATTGATGTATGGTTTGTTAGGATCGGACAATATTTGAAAATCTGGAATCTGAGGGAGCAAAAAAATCTAAATATTGAGAAAATCATCTTTAAAGTTGTTCAAATGAAGTTCTTAGCAATGCATATTACTAATCAAAAATTAAGTTTTGATATATTTACGGTAGGAGATTTACTAAATATCTTCATGGAACATGATCTTTACTTAATATCCTAATGATTTTTGGCATAAAAGAGAAATGTATAATTGTGACCCATACAATGTATTGTTGGCTATTGCTACAAATATCCCCCAGCGACTCAACACTGCTTTTGTGCTGCAGGGACACATATGATAATAACTCATAACAACACATTGGGATGAAAGATTATGCAGACAGTCGTGTTCGTTCAGAATAACATCACTGATGAATCACTCAGAATGAGACGTGAATTAAGCGAGTTAGCACGTGCTGATCTGATGATCTCCTCTCTGTAGGATCTCTAATATCTCTCTGGACACGGCTCTGGAGGCGGATGAGGCTCGTCAGGGCGGAGACGAGGCGCGGCTGGTGGAGGCGTGTGAGTGTGCGCTGGGATACGCTGGACTCTCCTGTCAGGTCAGCATCCGCATCTTCCGCTACAGACAGATCTCAAAACAAACCTTCATGTGTTGTGTCACATTTAGAAATGTTTCTCATAGTTCCTGTCCTTTATCCAGACTCAGAAACTCAAAAACAAACAATCAAATAAAAATATAAGTAGTATAAAATTAATACTTAATAATACAATACAATATAATGTATAATTTCTAATATTTTCTGCCATTTAACCAAATTTAGAAACTCTTACAAGTACTAATATATATATATATATATATATAATACATAATTAATATTTAATAATATAATGCAATATATTGTGTAATTTCAAATATTTTCTGCCATTTATCAACATTTAGAAACTGATAAGTACTAAATATTTTAAATAATAAAACTTAGTTAAATACATAAAAATATAATACAATATAATTAGAAATGTATAATTTCCTGCCATTTGTCAAAATTTTGAAAGTTTGATAAATACTGAAAATTTTATGAAAAATAAATCAAATGAAATATATAAATAATATAAATGAATACTTAATAATATAATACAATATAATGTATAATTTCTAATATTTTCTGCCATTTATCAACATTTAGAAACTGATAAGTACTAAATATTTTTAATAAAAAATAATAAAATGTAAAAAAAATAAAAATGAAACTAAACCTAAATAAAATAAAATATATCAGTAATATAAAGTTAATACTTAAAAATATAATACAATATAATTAGAAATTATATCATTTCTGCCATTTGTCAAAATTGTGAAAGTTTGATAAATACTGAAAATGAAATTAAAAATAAATAAAATGAAATATATAAATTAATACTTTATTATATAATACAATATAATATTTCCTGCCATTTATACAAATTTAGAAAGTCGATACAAAAAAAATAAAAATAAATATAGTGTGTATATAAATAATGTACTTTCACATTAGTATCACTCAGGGTTGAGTTCTGTTATGTTATGGGGTGTTTTGATGAATGATCTGATGTTTTTACCCATCATGCTCTGTGTTCCAGGAGTGTGCTCCGGGGTTTTACCGTCAGGCCGTGTCCGAGCTCAGCATGAAGGGCAGAAAGCGTCCGCTCATTCGGCCCTGCGTCCCCTGCCGGTGCAACAACCACAGCCTGTCATGTGACCTGGACACGGGCGAATGTCTGGTGAGAAACACAGACGAGCTGCTGCATCCGAGCTAACTGATAATACAGACAGAGCAGCTGCTTGAGATGCTGAGATCATTGTGTGTTCAGGGCTGCCAGCACAGCACCGCAGGAGAGCACTGCCACGTCTGCACCGCAGGGTATTATGGGAAGGTTCAGGGCTCCGTCAGAGACTGCTCGCTGTGCACCTGTCCTCTGCGGGGTCAGAGGTGAGGTCACATGACACTGCCGTGGTCACATGTTAACCTGGGGCACTTCTGGAAATTAACCAGTAGAAACAGTTCTGGAAATAATCCAATCGGAATTAAGAAAGAAATGAAACTGAGTAGTGGTTAATGTTAGAGCTGTACAACAATATTTAGTCTTTCTGCTATATTATGATACGAAAAAATGCACTTTCAGCAGATGACTTGAATAGATTTATTATGAAGTCATTAATAATTCGAGAAGGAGTTGGATGATTTTATGCAAAATAAAAATAATTTTTAAATAAACGTTATATTCTGAAGACGTTTTTTGAGTGCAGATAATAATAATATTGACTATTATTAAATATAAATATTGGGGAAAAAATATATAGTGTAATGAAAAACATAAACAAATTTTTTTAGTTGCCAAGTAAACATTTCTCATTTTTATTATACTTGATATACTAAAATAAATAAAAATAATACTGAAATAAAAAATAATACAAACTATTTAGACATAAAAAATATTAATATATTAAAAAAGTCATTTGGTCAAAATGACAAAACACAAAAAATACTAAAACAATAACAGAAATTAAAACAAAAACAATATATAAAAATAAAAACTTATTCAAACTATTAATATAATCTATAATAGTATCTCACTGATAGTAGATTATTTTAATAAAATCTTATTTTATAGTACAACTGCAACATTACAATACTAATTTTTCCATCTTAATTCATTTTCAAACATTAAACCATTAAGCTTTTATTTTGGCGGCTTGACAGCTGAACACGTGTATGTGTTAGTGAAATTTGGTTGCGCATATAATTAAATACATAAATATACATACATATACAGTATATATATATATGTATCCGTGTGTATGTGTAATTTATCAGTCAATAAATTAATATATAAAATATAGAAGTATTTAAAATAAATAAAATATTGCTATGTTGATTTTATTTCTGTATATGGTGCAGTGCTGATATGTTGTGTGTCTATAGTTTCAGCTCGACGTGTGTGATAGAGAGCGCCGGTGACTTCCGCTGCGATCGCTGTGAGGAGGGATACGACGGCCGTTACTGTGAGAGGTGAGGTCATGTGACACACACACACTCACACACACACACACACACTCTCTCACACACT